CGGTTATGGCCAGCGCCAATACGCTCCTTATTGGCATTAAATCCTTGACGTATGAATCAATAGGATATGATCGATAGGGCACAAAGCCCTCTGTTAGCTAAGGTGGATTTAAATTTGTCCCCTTAGACAAACATTCAACCTCGGTCTACAAGGTTCCCTTGGACGAAGCAACCCATGGCTGCCGACAAGGTGCCTTCTGTCAGGTTGGGTCGACTACCTCCTTTGACTAAGTAGACCAGGGATCATGACAGCCCGGGACGACGGAAACATGGGATCTTGATCGGGCTCGTCTTCATTCCCCCCACCACCAGTTTTAAGTTTATGGTGATAAACTTCAAATTCCAAACTTTAAAATCTAAATTCAAGATTCAAAACCCTAAACTATTGCTATTATATGATAGGTTTATAACCTATTCAACATCCTTAACGACTAGCCTTAATCGAAAGTTCTCTCTCGTTATCGGGAGGGGTAATTAACTATAGGGGCTTGCGCCTATAGGAAACCAGAACTCAGATCAAAAAGTCCTCACTAAATGAGGGCGAAATCTCTGGGTAGTGTCTTATCTAAAACCCAATCTGCCTTCTGAAAATTCCCCCGGAACCTAATCTAGTTAAAACTCTCTATCGTCATCGTCATACAAACATTTTAAAAGGAAAATTGACGGATGGCGTGGAAAGGCCGGGATCACACATCCTAAAATTGGAATTTTTCAGAGCCCACAATCTTATTACCGCTCAAGCTTTAGTAAATGAGTTAATTGCTAGATTTGAATTCTCAAATTCACCTTTTTACTTTTCTCATAACATATCGTACCATAATGTTTGGTGAAAATTTACTAGCAGTAGGATATATTTAGTATTTTAAATCTTTGTAGTAGGTCATTCGTATTTTCTTTTGAAGGTGTGGTGGTTTTATTTTATGAGATGCTTTTTTCAATGCCATTTTCATATATTGTTGTTTTCACTTAATTGACGTACTATCATTTTGATTTATAGTAATGAAATGAAATTTTACTTTAATGTCCATTGTTTACTCTGATGAATTATATTATATTAATTGTATATAAAATTTCTTCTTTTTAGTACAAAACAAGTTATACTTATCCCTTCATCATGTTCTGCATTCCCAGGTGTAACTTTTTGAGTCAACCAAATCAATTTTGAGCTAGTCATGAATCAAGCCATTTCAAGTTGAACCAATTCGATTCAAAATTAAATCAATTTTAAGCAAATTGAGCAAACTCATCAAATTCAACTCTATATCAACTAAAAATTTATATCCTCTCCAATTGCCATGGAAATTAGAGGCAAATCTTCACAAACTCAGCTATCCAATCAACTTGGGATGTCAAGGATCATTTTCTAGGCATGCTATGCTAGTTGAATTCGGTTGAAGCCGGTACTCACATTTGAGTGAGTCCAATTCATTCAAATGTAAGTTTCAACTTCTTTAGATTTAAGTTCTAAATTATAGCGATTTCGAAAAAAAGTTAGTAAAATCATTCCAATCATCCAGAGTTGATAGGATGATAATGATTAGAGAACATTGCCCTCCCATTGCCCTGATAATTGGAAAGGATCCAAATCCGAATAGATAACATTGGTGATGATGGCAAAATAGAATAAACGTTTGCAACAGTACAGAACAATACAAAGATCACAGGTAAGTGTTCCCACTACCAACATCTGGATTAAAACTTCAGCCAAAAGACTATTATCACATAATATGGGGCAGAATAAAGAAACCAAATAAAAAATAAAATAAAATAACTCTTACACCTCAAATTATAACTTAGGGCATGGAGGAGCGATTCTGCTTAATAATTTCCGCTCACTCATTAAGCTAACAAAAATATACATGAACAATTTGGCCAACAGTTTTCCACGCTCCGAAAAGTAAGCAGGATATCTCATGTACCATGCACTCGATATGCCTATAGCTTTCCATGGTCCCATCCTAATTCTGAGGATCTAAAACCAAAAGGTCCTATACTAATTCAATCTGGCGCTAGTCAACAGAACATCGTAAACCAAAAGATTCTTCACTAATTCAATCAAACGCTGGTCAACCGACATACCATGATGTTCGAACGTCGTCCGGATTCAAAACTTCACAACAATGATCGGATGAAGTGTCTGATGCGGCTTTTTAACGGATGAGAATACACTATAAACCCAGATACCTCGATCATTCTTCTAGGTTTATGAATCCCTCTCAATGGAAGCACAAGGATACGAATAATTAGTCAACTATAGTAAAACAAGCTTCAAACCTGTACTACTTTCAAGACAAGCAATCAAAAACTTCAATAAACTAAGAAAAAAAAGGTCAATCAACCAATAGAAACCAAGAAAAACACCACAGATCTCGCTTAATAAAAAAGAAAAAAAAGTAACCAAATTAGAATTTGCAAGAAGAAACTGAATAGCTATAATTTACCGGAACAGTGGCTTGTTGCACTCGGCTCTCCGCTGAGGCCATAGCAGCCGCCGCTGCATTCACCGTCTCCACGCTACTGTTCATCTCTTCCAATCCGTACCAAACCAAATCGGAAACCTAAATACTCCCAGCCACTCCTTTTCAACTCCACCGATCAAACAGATTTCGCCAAGCCAAAAAAAAAGACCAAGTAAACCCAATCTACAAATTCATTTTTAAATCTCTCTCATTCCCACACAGAATTATGAAAGAGGAGAAGAATGCTCCGGCACGCTGATCGGGATCAAAAGCGGGAGTAAACGAGCTTTGAAGCTCCTCAGCCGCCCAATTGTTATAGTGCGGAGGAAATAGATAAACGTGATAAGTCTTTGCTGCAGTAAACATTCGTGGACCTTTTCGCCGCGGTCTCGAAGCACGCGCGAGCCGTCGTGGAAACTGACGCTTCTCACGTGTGCCTTTGTGTGGGCCCCAGAAGAACGCGTTTGGATTCAGAGACCTAAATTGGAACCCCCGGCCGCACCCACCCACGTGATGCCTGCGGACAAGGCCAAATGTGGAAAAATGGGTGAAGTTTATGTTGGCCAATGCCCACTGTGGTTAGTTAAGCATAATTATTTTAAAAATTAAAGGCTCTTCTGACTTTTTTACCCATTCTTCCCCCCGAAAAAAAAAAAATAACCCGACTTGGCGTGTTGTGCCTGGCCCGAATCAAACAGAAATTTTAAAATTTTAAATATCATAATAATAGCGGATTTTAAAATTAATTTACGTATATATCACTTTATTTTTTGTTTATTTATTTTTTTAACACCTAGCACTTCTTTTTTACATAAATATATATATACACTAATCAATAATTTTATTTATTTTTTTAACACCTAGCACTTCTTTTATACATAAATATATATACACTAATCAATACTTTTAACAGCCATTGAAGTCGACGTCTAGCTCATCTTATTGTATCCTTTAACTCTCCTCTCTGAGAATTTATAGAATTTTCATCATTTATTTATTTATTTATTTCATTTTTTTTTTTAGTTTTTATCAATAAACATACATAGTTAGGGTCATAGGGTTGTGGGTGGATTTGATGATATTTATATGTTAGGAATTAGGATATTGTGTAAAAAAGAATAATTTATAAATACATTATGTATATAGATATAAATTAATTATGCATGTAAATTATCCATTAAAAATTAGAGATCTATATTATATGACAACAAATCTCATATAGTAGAGATAAAAAAAAATAATTATTGTAACCTTAGAAGTTTCAACTATTCAAATATAAAGTATGATAAAATTTGAAATTCAAAGCGTTGAGAATCAAGCTTAAAATTAAAAAAAATAATAATAAAGCACGATTAAATGGACTCCAAATTTCATAAGATTAGAAAATATTATTATTGTGGCCTTAGAAATTTCATCTATTCCATCAAAATAATTCAGAAAGTTAAAAATTATGCTTAGAATTTTTAAAAACCATATTTGCTATTAAATGCTCCAAATTTCATAAGATTTCAATAAAATAATCATCTCATTGTGTTATTTCTAGGAGATCAAAATTACAAAAAGAATAGCCCATTTGGGAACTAGTTTACTTGAATAAGACATAGCCAACTAGTCCAAGGGGTCAATTCTTGCCCCCCTACAGTTCAATTGGCCTCTACTAATCTTTGATTCACAAGCCATTTGTAGTCTTGGTTTGCTTTCAAGAATAAAAATATATGGTGTTTAATGGGTGCACCATCATTATAATTTTTTTTAGTAATCCAATTTTTGTCTTGATTTTTTGTTTAAACCATCATGACAGTTATAGCCCTCTGCTTCACAAATCACTTATAGCATCAAATTTCACTTGAAAATATGAAAAATTGAAAATATTATCATTATTTTCCAATGGCCCTAAATATGATTCTTATGCATTCCCATATTATTTCAATCAATTAAAAAAATTTTGAAAAAAATATTATTTCAATCAATTTGATCATCAAAATTTTAATAGTTTATCTATGTTGGATTAATCACATAGAGAACAACTAAAAGAAGTTATTCTCATTGATTGGAAACTCTAACATTGGTGGTAGATGGTGAACTACTGATGAGCCACTACTACAAGCCCTTACTCCACTTCCTTGCTTGACCTTGGTTCAAACAATCCCATCAAACTGGCATATGGGAAAAACCATCTAGTCTTTTTTTGTTAAAGTATGGACCAACTTGGATTATATAAAGTGGGCTTAATTGTTTGTTTTTATTGAATATTAGTTTAAATGAGATTTTTTTTTTTATGTCTTCCAAATATGTTATTAAAAGTACAGAAGCAATGAAGTTGGATTTGGTGGTGTAGAGCTAATGGCTCTTTAACTAAGTAAGAAGGAATCGCAAATACGAGGGCCATTATTTAACTTTAAGCTTTTGGTGGGGAGAATCTAGGTCACTCCATGACGTAGCAAATGAAAGTGGTCTTATCATTAGGGCAAGGGCAAATAACATATGAGACTCAAGCCATGAAGGTCAAGAGCACGTGAAGAAGTGGTTAATGCATTTAGTCTTTTTTTTTTTTTTTTTTTTTTTTTTTTTGTATTTTCATGTTTTAGGATTATATGTGTGTGAAGACTTAGTGTTGTGTGAAGTTTTTTGTGTCAAATGATTACTTTATGTGTAAAATGGCTTGGGAAAATAATGTGAAGTGGCTAGGGAGCGATGTGGTTGGCTGAGCAAGTGCTGCGGAGTGTAGTTAATGTACAAATATGAAGGAGGGAGTAGTTATGGTGGTTGCACATGTGGAACACCCTCCCTCCTCCCTTTTCCCACTTTGTTTTGAATTTAAATGAAGGGACGTGACTCTTCATGTGCTTTTAGTTGTATAAAACTTTCTTAGACTGAAATTAAGTAAAGATTAATTTGCTTACAAGTTGTAGAGAGAAATTACAAGCTTGGAGGCTTGGTGGCCGGACATAATCACGTAGATTAGGTAATCTCTTTAAATCTCTGCTTTAGTGAGTGAGATTTTTAATTTTCATGCATGTCTTATCACTCTCCCTAGCAATTTTACACACACACACACAC